TTGGCTCCTCAGCCAAGCACATACACCAAATGTCTGAACCTGCGGTTCCTCTCGTACTGAGCAGGATTACCATGGCAACAACATCATCAGTAGGGTAAAACTAACCTGTCTCACGACAGTCTAAACCCAGCTCACGTTCCCTATTAGTGGGTGAACAATCCAATGCTTGGTGAATTCTGCTTCACAATGATAGGAAGAGCACCAGGTCAGATTGTTGATCAAGCTTTCTATTTAGAGTTTCTGAAAAGATTGCATAAAGTGTGAGACAATAAAGACCTGATTTGTGACAGAACAGGAACTGGATTTTCCACCACAACAATGCACCTGCTGAGGCAGCCATCTCAGTGCACCGGTTTTGGGTAAAAAGCATCATGCCTCTTTTGCCCCACACACCTGATCTTCCTCCATACAACTTCTTTTTGTTTCCACAAATGAAGAGGAATATGAAATGCCAGTGATTTGATGACCTAGAAGAGATGAAGAAAAAAATGAGGGAGTGTGATAGTTATATAATGGTTTGTCAATTTGAGGATTAAGAGTGAAGGGGTGGAGTCTAATCTGTCGATGGGAATCATAGCCTATGAGGCTTCCGTGTGGGCATGGCCTTCTCCTGAGAATTCTGGCAATCCTGAATTTCCTCCTTGGAAGTTACCTCTCTCTGGTAACTCCCTTGGAGATGCTCTACTGACAAGTCACATGGGAGATGCTCTACTGACGAAACACATGGCACCATGTCCTGGGAGCTGGAGAAGCCACATGGACCTACCATGATGCAACCAGCTCTCTGGAGCTGGAGAAGCCACATAGAGACCCCTGCCAGTGCTGAGATGCTTTCAATGGATCCAAAAGACTTCTAACCCACTGGCCTTTGACCCTCCTGCATTCAGCATCATTGCATGTGTTCCGTGAGTCTGAAGAAAACTTTATAGATTCGTATCAGACATATGGACTAATATTGGACTTATGGACTTGATCTGAACTGGGCTGGGATGGTTCCTCAATATTCAATTGTTCTTGTATATAAATCTCTTTCTTATATACATATGAGTGTCTATAAATTTGTTTCTCTAGTTACCTAGATTGACACAGGGAGGTACTACTGTCAGCCATCCAAACAGATGCGTTTGAAAAATGTTTCCAAGTATGGAATTGCAGATTCGACAAATGTATTAAGTGTATGATGTGTAATGGAGAGTGCTTTGAAGGTGATAAGGTTGTTTTCTAAAAATAAATAAATAAATACATAGCTTTGAAAAAAATTCTGTTTTTTTCCCTTGGGGGAGGGAGGGGGGTACATTCTCATCTACTGCATGATAAAAATACAGTATTTCTGGAGCACTGTATGGATTAACAAGAGCCCTGGTGGTGTAGTGGCTTACCCATTGGGCTGCTAGCCCTGAGATCAACAGCTTGAAACCACCAGCTGCTCCACAGGAGAAAGATGAGACTGTGTTCCCTTAAAGAATTATAGTCTTGGAAAAGCAAAAGGACAGTTCTACTGTGTTCTATCGGATCACTGTGAGATAGAATGCACTTGATGACAGTGAGTATTTGTTTTTGGATTTGGATTAACAAGGAGCCCTGATGACACAACAATTATTGATAACTAGCCGCTCACCTACAGTTTGGCTGGTGGAAGCCACCCAGGGGCTTCAGAGCAGAAGGGCCTAGTGATCTGTTCCTATAGAGATTCTAATTAGAAAGCTCGAAGGGAGAGGTTGTACGCCCTTACATGGTTGGATTCACTGTGAGTCCGGATTGACTTATAGCTATCTAATAACACAATATATTTTACTGGAGGCTAGTAAGAGTGTTTATTTGGTTTTCTTAATTGCTACTAGTTATATTTTATTTCCTATGCCTTGAAATGTCTTTTCATAAAAGTTATTTGTAAAAAGTTTCCTGTTAATTTTTTGGAAAATATAATTGACAACTCTTAAAGGAACAAATTCATCAGTGTTTCCAAAATTCACATTAAATATGTAAAAATATTGCTTTCATAAATTTTCAATTAAAATATGATTGTTATGCAGCCTTTTTTACATTTTTATAAGCCAGTTTCTATTGTTTTTAGCTTCTGATGCAAATGTGAAGAACGAAAGTCTTTCATCCGTGCAGCAGCTCGGCATTAAAATGACGGTCAGGTACGTTATAAGGAAATATCTCTCTGGCACATGTCGAGAATTTGTTTTATCTGCCTGATGTGGTTAATAGTACTTAATTTAACATCCAACTACTTTGTATACTTTATATGCAGAGTTTATCTTTCAGGAAATAATAACTTGGTTTTTGAAGAAATTGGTGTATGATTAAATTACCTCTGCAGGTAAATCAGCTACAGTTCATTATTATTCCAGGGGCTAATTATGGTGTATTTAAGCCTCTGCGACTATCAGATTTTTTCTAAAAATAACATTGTAAAAATCAGCATATTTGTAGCACAATCATACCATTTTCTAAAATATGATTAGTCCTAATTGTCAAGCTATGTACTAAGAGCACAGCATGCCTTAAGAATAGATGTAGAAGTAAAATCGAATGAGCAAGAATTATTGTGGTTTGAATTTTTTTTGGATTGCAATTTTGAAACGGAATTGGCAAGGTAGAAAAGAAGGTAAGGTAGTCTGGGAGTATATTTGCTGTATATACTCATTAAAGACTCAGTTCTAGAAACTTCTCCTCACTTGCTTTTCAGTGGACACCTTTACAGTCCCATTCACTTTACAGGGTCATCTTCAGAACCCAAAAGGTACATGTGAAAGCCACTGAAAGACTGTGCACTTTTGGAACTTCATAGCATGGTGGTGAAAATGGTGATTTTAATTCCAGATCTCCTCTGTGCATTACATAAGGCACGTTCTGTTTTGATAGTTTTGTGACTCAGTGTTCCCTTTGTATACAAATACTTCATAATGCCCAACAGCTATTTTGAAATAAAGTCTATAAGTTATATAAGGAGACAAGTCACATCTTTGAAAAATTCCATATAGTGTTTTATTCATAAGGAATTATGTGGAAACTGATGTATAATGAAATGCTTGGATGCAATTGCAATATAAAGTCTCTCTGGACCTATGTGTGGAATCATTGTGACTCTGGCAGCTTCAGATGCAGACTGATAGGGTTTTCATTTGGGTGCCAAATAGCACAATCAGGGTTCTATTTTCCAATGTGACTTTCCAAAATGAGAAACATGCCTTAGTAAGGTTTCAAATACAACAAAAGAAGTACTTTCCTTCACTTAGATCTAATGTATATTAAGATACAGAAAAAATACTTTATGATTTAATATAAAATGGAACTCAGATCAGATTATTGTAAAAAGGGTTTCATTCATACCACTAATATTGCAAGACATGTCCCGTTTCAGCCTTCTAGACCCTCCCCTCTTGACTCCAGTAGTCACTCTGATAGACGAAATGCTACCATCTATTTCAAAGTGTTTTCTGGGGGCAGTACTACTCTCATTCAAAACCACTGGACTAAAGGGATCTTAACATTGCTTCTAGATCCAAAATTCTGTAATGTTAACTTATCAGCATTTCATATTTTTTATTAAGTTTAAGAAAAACAAGTGACATTCTCATACCTACCTGCAGGATATCTAAATTTGTTCTCTCATCACTATTTCATCTTTTTTTGAAGTCATCATATCTACCATATAAACACTGCTCATCCAAAGATATAATGATTATTAGGAATACGTCTTGAGAGCTAATTTTTCCTAAGTGTTCTGCCCCACATAGTTTTGCTAAAAATAGAAATTTAGAAACTTAAAACATTGAGACGTCAAAAGGATGACACTCGGATACAAATAATTGAGTTTGCAGTGCAGGTTCTGACCATTTTCTCTTCATATGTTTTGGGGGCTTTTAATTCAGGTATGGCAAGTTCCTCCACCTGTTAAAGGATGGTGCAGAAAATCATCTTTCCCTGGTCTTAAAGCACTGTGAACGGTTCCTGAAACTGCAGCATGCTCCTGGAAATTTTTCTCTTAATATCCTTTTGCAGTGGATTCATCTGAGTTGGACTTTCTTCATATAGATTTTCCTCATTTATTAATGGGGTATCTTATTACATTTTCTTTAAAATAATATTGTAACCCATATTAGTGATTGATTTGTTATGATATTTCTTTATAGCATAGTATTTTTATTCTGTATATAAAATATGTAGTCTATTCTATGGAATCACATTTATTATAGTACATCTCAGTCATTGAAACTTAAACTGGCTATTGAAAGTCATTTGGATACATGACTTATCTGAGAACCTATCTTGGACATATCTAAGAAAGATTTTAAGTTAGTTTTAGTACATTCAGGCTAAAAATAAGACTGCTCATCATGACCACATGTGTTTATCATTCCATTTGAATGGCGAGCTTTCAGAAATGGAGTTTGACTTGAAAAACTGTATACAAAACTACATGCATTACTGAGGTTTAAAAGTGTATGCTTGATAATCTAGTCACTTAGGGTATGATGCCAGCTAAAGAAAGGCAGGTCCTGATGTATTAATTAACTGAACACATCTTTTTGCATAAAATGGGTCATGTTTCCTCCAGTTGCTGGGCCCATTAGCCTCCAGTGAGCAGCTGAGCACATGTTACACTAGCATGGTGATAAGTATTAATTTTTCACTAATAGCTTAACTTTACTCAAATAGCTTATACATTTATTAAAAATAAAATGAAGAAGAGTGCCATTTATCTCTCCTGATAGAAGTTCTGGAAATGAACACCTGCAGTGTTCCTATAGTCAAGTTCAAAAGAACGAATGTTGTAAATGTTCCTTAACTGGGTGTTTTCAGTCTGCCTTCAGGCGAGTTACCCTGGCCATGACTGGTTTGTGTCTTCTCTCTTTATGCTAATGTTGGGAGACAAGGAAAGAACGCTCCAGTTTCTTCAGAGGTTCGCCCGACTTCTGGTCTCTGCTTTCCTTTGGTTGCCAAGACTGCATATTTCTGTAAGATGTTTCAGTCCAAGTTTAAAGGAGGGCTTGACATTTTAAGGAAAATCATATTTAAATTTATTGAGCTCTTATTATTTGTAGAGGACACGCTAATTTACATTGCTTTGAAAACGAATGTCTTTTGACTGATTCTCTTTTGAAGAATAGATTTGATATAACTTCAAATGCTTTATGTTTTGGCTGAGGCATCATCAGAACAAAAAATCATATCATAGTGAATGAGGGGTGAGTGTGGAGTGGAGACTCAAAGCCCATTTGTAGGTCACTGGACACCCCCTTACAGAAGGGTCTCAGGGAGGAGACAAGCCAGTCATGGTGCAATGTAGCAATGATGAAACATACAACTTTCCTCTTGTTCCTAAATGCTTCCTCCTCCCCCCATTATCATGATCCCAATTCTACCTTACAAATCTGGCTACACCAGAGGATGTACACTGGTACAGATAGGAACTGGAAACAGGCAATCCAGGACAGATGATCCCTTCAGGACCAGTGGTGTGAGTGGCGATACTGGGAGGGTTGGAAAGAGGGAACCAATTACAAGGATCTACATGTGACTTCCTCTCTGGGGGACGGATAACAGAAAAGTGGGTGAAGGGAGATGTTGGACAGGGCAAGATATGACAAAATAATAATTTATAAATTATTAAGGGTCCATGAGGGAGGGGGGAGCGGGAAGGGAGGGGGAATATGAGGAACTGATGCCAGGGGAGAGCAAATGTTTTGAGAATGATGAGGGCAATGAATGTACAAATATACTTCACACAATTGATGTATGTATGGATTGTAATAAGAGATGGGCCCCTGATAAACAGTTTAAACAATTAATGGTAGAAGCATTTTGATGGGTCAGTGAAAACGTTACATTAGTTCAATTCTACAAGTAAGAGAGAGTTAGTGAAGGGATGTGTTGTTAGAAAGACTCTCTTGATGTTTCAGTCACAGTCTGAGGAAATCATTAAGCAGAAGTTGGAGCTGGATTCTATTGCTGTTGGTTGCCATAAAGTGGATTTCAACTCATGGTGAAGAAACCCAGGCTGTTCTTTTTATGTGTATTTTGGATCGCCATGATGAGGTGTTGTGGTTATGTGTTGGTCCTTGCTGATCCCTCATGGTCAGCAATTTGAATGAACCTGCAGCTCCATAGGAGAAAGACGGGGCTTTCTACTGGCATGAACAGTTACAGTCTTGGAAACCCACCAGGGATCACTGTGAATGAGTTGGAGTTTTCTGATGAGAGGGAAGGAACTCTGGTGGTGCAGTTGGGGAAGTGCAAGTTGGGTGGTTCAAACCCACCAGCTGGCCCATGAAAGAAAGGGTGAAATTTCTGTAAATGTCTACAGCCTCGAAAACCCTTAATTGGGTCAATATGAGTCAGAGTCAACATGCTGGCAGTGTGTATGCCGAGGTTCATTAAATTACTCTATGTATTTTTTAAAGTTTTTACTACAAGTTAGTTCAGAGTTAAATGTTTCATCCCTTGAAAATGTGAAGAAACGGCCTAGTATAAGAGCTATGCTAGTTTCATGACATATCATTTGTGGACATGGGATCCAAGGATAAGCCATAAGGACTGGGCGGTATCTATGTAGCGTTAGAAGAAAACGTGTGTTCTTTATACTATATAATTATGACAGTGATAATAAAAGTAAAAAACACCCTAAAATAAAGCATTCAGGATTACATTAAAATTGAAATTTTATAATTTGTGATTGAAATAACTATATTTAACTTTAAAAAAAACACCATGATGCCCACTCTGACTCATAGTGACCCTACGGCAAAGCTTCATAAAGCATGGGTTTAAGAAGTGGGAGACTAGAAAAATTTGACAACAGCACAAGGTTTCTGACTCAGCAACAATTAGCAATCAATTCAAAATCAAACACACGATGAATCGGGTGCTTCCGGCAGTGCTTTCTCACGGAGCAGATTCATCGGGTGGAAAGGATCATGAGGGGAAAGTTGAAGAAGCCCTGAAACTGCCCCTGAGGGTTTCTGAGGCTGTGAATCTTCAAAGTAGAAAGTCTCATCTTTGTCCCATGGAGCTGTTGGAGGAATTGAACTGCTGACCTTGCCATTAGCAGCTCAACTCAAAGCACCCTACAGCTTTCTGAACAGAATAATACTTTCCAGCTCTTACCTTCACCATCATAAGATTGTGTCTACAGGAGCAGCGGATAGCAAACGGCAAAAGATGATCTATTTTCCTCCAAACAATGGAACTATTTTCCTGCTATTAGCAGGAATTTGATTGTTTCTTAAAAGCAAATTTTAAGTAGATGGGTCATTTTAAAAGTAATATTGAAAATTATTTTGATAAGATGTATCATTTTGTGGCCAATCATATATTTAATGGCTCGTATTGTAAGCAGTGATACCTACACTCCTCTGGTTTGGGTGATTCTTTCACTGTCCGATGATGACAGAGTCCACCACCTGCTCCTGAATTGGCTCGAACCACCGACCTTTGTTATCAGTTGTGTGCTTAACCTTTTGCATCGCCAATGCTCAATCTAAGACTATTTGATCCACCTCAAAAAAAAAAAAAGTCAGTTTCCAAAAAGAAAACTTCAAAAAATGTCAGTCATCCCCCTCTCAGTCCTACCCACCCCAACTTCCTTACACTGCTCTGGTTTGCCCTCTCCATCCCGTACGCCCAGGCCAAAGTCCCTGCTGTCGAGTTGATTCCAACTCGGTGTGACCCTATACGACAGGGCAGACCTGCTGACCTTGTGGTTTTCAGCCCAACCTGTGCCCACTACGCCTCCTAAAGTACGATTCATGAGTTTATTTGCTCCTGGTGTAAACACTTCTTGAATATAAGCTCTGTGAGAGAGGAATTTTCTGTTTTACTCACAGATGTGCCCAAAACTGTGGCTCATAGTAACCACTCCGTGACTGCATATTGAATGCATGGATTAATCTGATGTAGGCTTTCTTACATCAGAAAAAAAATTCACTTAAACGATAGGATTTCCTCTTAATTCTTTAAGTTTAAACAAATTATACAAAAGGTTTGAAAAGATACACCCAGGAAAAGTGTTACCTGAAGTAAGGATATTTGGTTTATCTTGGTTATTATTTGTTTTTTGGGGGTTGGTGGTGGGTGGTGGGGAGGATACTCTCTAAATGGTGCAACATTTTGTGCAATTTTAAGTCAGAGTATAGCTAATTGTTAGTATCAAAACTATTGAAAAAAATGGTAAGGTAAGAAAGATTAAGAAATCAATTATTTCCATGTAGGAATGTATACTTTTAAGTAATAGCAATAAAAAGTACAACACATTAAATAGTAAAATACTAAAAAGTAGAACACATTAAACTGAAATATAAATTAAAATAGTGTTAATTTGTCAACAAAGCTATAATGATAGTAAAGCAAGTAAAATAATATTCACTACCACATTTTTGTCAGTTGGTTGTAGTCTGGTGGCTTGTGTACTGTTGTGATGCTGGAAGCTGTGTCACTGGTATTCAAATGCCAATAGCTCACCCGAAATGAACAGATTTCAATGGAGTGTCCAGACTGAGAACAGATCATGAAAACAAGACTCAGCTGCTGATGTCGGAGGAAGTAGTCATTGAAAGCTGTATGCATAGCTTCAAGGTGTGTGTCAAGGTTGAGTCCTCTCAGCATACTTACTCAATCTGTATGCTGTGAAAATCATCAGAGAATCAGATTATTTTAGGAAGAAGTGGCATCAAGTTTGGAGGAAGGTTTATTAACCTGCTCAATATGCAGATGACACAACCTTTCTTGTTGAAAGTGAGGAGGACTTGAATCACTTGCTGATGAAGATCAAGGATTACAGTATGTATTATGACTCCATGTAAAGAAAGCCTCAGAACTGGACCAATAAAAAAGATCAAAATTCTCACAACTGTAACATCATGATAAATGGAGACAGATTGACGTTGGTTAGAATTTTGTCTTGCTTAGTTCCACAGTCTGCTCATGGAAGCAGCAAACAATCAAAAGACGAGTTGTGTTAGGTTAATCTGCTGTACAGTACCTCTTTAGAGTATTGAAAAGCAAGGATGTTACTTTGAGGACTAGGTGTGCTGGAGCCTAGTCTTGGTATTTTCGATTGCCTCATATACATGTGAAAGTTGGACATTGAATAAGGAGGTTTGAGAAGAATTGATGCCTTTGGTTTGTGGGGCTGGAGAAGAATATTGGAAGTAGCATGGAATGCCAAAATGACAAACAAATCTGGCTTGGTAGAAGCACAGTCAGAGTGATCCTTAGAGACAAGGGTGGTGAGACTTAATCTAATATACCGAATATACGCAAGTATAAGCCGACCCGAATATCCATCTAATTTTACCACAAAAATTGCATTAAAAATGTGCTAAAAAACCCGGCTTATACTCGAGTATAGACGGTAGTTTAGGAGAGACCAGTCCCTGGAGGACATTGTGCTTGGTTAAGTGGAGGGCAGAGGAAGGCCCTCAAAGAAATGGATCGACACAGTGGCTGCCTCACTGGACTCACGCATGGGCACAATTGTGAAAATGGTGCGGGCCCGGGCATTGCTTTGTTCTGTTATGCACAGGATCTCCATGGGTCAGAATGGACTCAAAAGCACTGAATCACGACAACAACAGCAAGGTCATGTGGCACTTGCTGGGTAGGGTAGCTCTCTACACCAAAGCCCCCATTTCCATTGAGTTAATTCCAACTCAGAGTGACTCTATAGGACAGTGTTCAATTGTCCCTTTGGATTTCTGAGACTCCATTTTATGGAAGTACACAATTTAATATTTATCCCGTAGATCCACTGTTGATTTTTATTTGCTGCCTTTGTGTTAAAAGCCCCAAACTGAAGCCATTTTAAATAATAAATTGCCTTGTTTAGAAAATTAGCATTTAACAATTCTAACAATTCACATAGAATTTAAAATTTTTGCAATCTATTTAAAAGGTGTCAGCAATAAAGCAAACAAAACAAAACAAAAAATATATAGGGAAAGGACTAGCATCAAACTTT